GACGCTCTTCCGATCTCGGCAAATTATTGATGATCTTCCGGGTGGTGAAAAGGTTTTGATTCATTTACAAAATTGTGTTGAAGAATATCGATTTCGATTATTTATTACAGAAGAACGATGAGGAAAAACCGAAAAGCGAAGAGAAGTAGACGGCAATATCTTCCTGATAACTTAATGTATTTCTGTACTTGAACTATGCATGTGCAGTGAATTTGGACTGAATTGGGTAAAGAATTTTGAAGCCGGTATTTTTTGTCTGTGGAAGCAGCTTTATCGAAAGTTCTACCGAAACAACAGGTAAAGTTAGTGTGCAGGAAGTTCTTCAGCATCTGAACCGCTGAACGCGGACCCAGTCCATTTTTTGGTGCTGAAAATGTGGAAAAAATGAGATTTGGACCTACTCTCGTCATTATCACACCTTCGATAGTTTTGATGTAAGATAACAAGTGAGAAGACATGAATTAGGACTGATACCGTCCGTTTTCCTCTACTTATTGCCCCTTAACCGCTTCAACAACTGGTGGTGAGTTCATATTGTTGATGCCAGCTCTTTCTCCTTATCACGACACTATCACCACTTGAAAAGGAGAGATCCAGTGGCGAATGACCGCACCATAAAAGACTTTACGAATGGAACCTGGGCGTTCCCTTGGCTAGTGGGCGTTGCCACGCCTCTCCCAGTATTTCTGAGCCGTGCAAGTAACACATCCTCCATGTTTGCAGGCAGGAGTATCATGTGCAATCAAGGCGCCTGAACCTCAAGTGAACACGGCACATGCCCTTAACAACTGTTGTCTTTTGTCTGACGAGGGTCACATGCGTACGAAGGGGCAAGCAAATATGTTATCGGGGTGCTTTAGCATATTGTTCCTTCCATGGAGCGATAGCTTATTTGGAAAGCGGATTTCAACATCTCACTTTGGATGCACTATTAAGAACAAGCCATTTAACAGTATGCGGTCTTTATTGAGGACCATGATATAGGTTTTGTAAAGGCTACGATACCATTTACTTCACATTTATGATTATAAAATCAGCTGTTGTACTTAGTTTGGGCAACATATCTACACAAGAAACACAGCACACATCGGGAAACACTGAAAACTATATCTAGCCATTTCTAAAACGAATCTCCCGTTTATCCTGAAGGAATACGACGATCACCGATCTTTCTTGTATTCTTGGACGTAGGCTTCTAATCGTTTCGCAAGCTCTGACACCGACGGAACACTTGCCAATCTGAAAACATGTTCATGACCTCCCTACTCACTAACAAATAGCCTGTACCAAGCGAGCGAGCGCGTGAATGCATACTTGACTTGTTTTGTGGAGAACTCGAACTCGGTCCGTGAAATCGCATCAACCTGTATTCTTCCGTGCTCTCTTGCCTACACTCTTGTCAGCTGCGGATACTGGGTCAGGTGGGCTGGGTTGAACGCCTGTTTTCCACCGATTGTTGTTGCTTACAGCGCTTCGAAAATAGGTGAAGAACCGGTCAAACGCTCACCCCTTGAAACGCTCCAACACCCGCACCGCACAAGACTGTATGCATCGCTCAGTGACATTGCACACATTCCAACTTTTCACAATCGATAGTTTATTCACACAGCATAAAGCCTCCAGTCCCTTGAAAAAGTCCATTCATTCGTTCACTCATATTGTTTCTGTCTTCGGACACAGCGAACCATGCTGCCAAATGTACAAGCAGCTATGTAACTTATAAAAGTGGTGCGCCCATCTGCGACAACGTGGAAGTCTTGATTCTGACAAAGGGAACATAGAAAAGAAGGGTCCGCCTCATGATTAGGAAGTTGCTCAATATTTCTACAGGGATGGGATATTTCAACATTTTGCTGGTCCACTGCAACACCCCGGGAGTCTCAGGATATCTGTTTCCTCTCTTTTTTTCTTTCCCTTGCTTATTTCCTTCTCCACTCTTCCTTATTCATCACCCTCAAATGAGAAGGTTCAACAAGAAAATTCCACTGGGCCCTCTGAGCGATGGACTTTCGGTTGACAGACGCCTGTATCCCACCCCGGAGTGTCGGCTATGGACAGGGGACACCAGAGCATCTAAAGGTGCGAAAGAACATATGATGGACGCGGAGCAGCGCACTTCGCTGTGGACGAGCCGTTCATCCTGTACGAGAGCCGGTTCAGTGGTACTTCAATAATACGATGTTAACCAATATAATGAAGAGTATTATTAATGACTATGAACCCCGATGTTGACATTGTACTCCAACAGAGGAACAGTGTTGCTCCATCGCGGATCAACGTGACCCCCGTATCAGATACGTGGGGGGTCTTCGGATGGATGGTCGTCAACAACAAGTTGAAATGTGGGAGGTCCCAGATGTCACAGAACTCTAGAAAAGATAGCGCAGTACCAGATGATGTTAAAAAAATATGTCCGGGCAAATCACATGTGGAACGAGAACTCGATAAGAAGCGGTCGCATGGTGTGATGACATTCCCAATGGCGTGTAATGACAGCTGTAGGCGTATTCCAGGTTGGATAACTCGTCCCGATCAGCAAGCGACCAGATCTTACTTATTGACCACCTCCATGGAGTCGTTAACGTCGACTTCAGTGCTCCTACGTTTCGACGATGCGACTCCCAATGATCAGTTGGGAAAATTCGGTAGATTAGCGCTCCGGACGAGTTGTTTTATGTGGGAAAACCGTTTGATTGACATTTCGTGACAACTCAGTGGCAACGTGATAGTGCCATACAACATATACCCGAATCTGGTGGAGTTATAAGCAGATGACAAATGCGGAAGGTTTCTGGTGAACAGGAATGTTCCAGAACGCGGAAAACGAGATTTCGAGTAAATGACTCACCTCGTAGTTCTGTGCGATATATGCTCCACCATAAACACCGATACACATCGACAAGAGATGTGAGAATAGTCCCATAGCAAGGCTGAGAACCAGTACTAAGAACTGGAAATAGGCGAACTCGAACGCAAAATGGATACATATGTATACAAAGTTTAGCTTATGCTGATGGAGACAGAAAATCGCACAGCCTACATAAAACGGATCCGTCTTGCACTAGAGTCTTCGTGCAGAGCTTGTTAGTAACATATTGTTCGAAAAATATTATTTAGAAATATTCACCTGTAAATAACCCGTTAAGTTGTAAGTCTTCAACGACCACTGAAGTTGAAGCACGATAACGAAAGTGAACGCAATATTTATAAAGTCGGTAACTGTATTGTAGAAAGGCTGCAGTATTTTTGCAGACAACACCTTGTAACATACGTCTTTTTCTTTTTGGAAGTCTTTTCCAAGTTTCTGATATTTCTTTCATCTGTGCATTTATTATGGTGTGTCAGGGTGACTCTGACGTCTGCATGGGTTTTTGAAAGTGTTCAGAAACCTCTTTATGGGTGAAAGCCTGGTCATGGTTCTGGTCCGGGGGAGAGGGGGAATTCTGTAAATTCTTGTCCACATACCGGTCTTGTAAACGTCTGTGAAGCTACTGAAAGTTAGTAACTTTGCGATTACGCCGTTTCTCCTATTTTTCAAAATTGGAGGGGAATTTTTGCTGGAAGCTGCAAAAAAACGACTTTGTCGGAGGAGGATAAGGATTTTCGTCTGAGCCCGGCGAGTGAGATAAAGCTGTGATGTGTAAAGCTTGGTACACTTGGGGATTACAACCGGAAAAGTGGTACATACCAAGCATTGAAAAAGTTCATTTCTGAAGCTTTGCATGTATCACTTTTCTAAGCATTTAATGATAGTAGAAGTATTTGTGGTTTTAGATGCCTCGGGTGCTCTGCAGCGAAATGCCCTCCCTTCTTGAAATAGCTTCGAATCCAACAGTAGTCGTTAAGTGTATGCCAGTCGATACTTCTACCAAGTTTCACTTAATTTTTTAGCAATGGCCGAAAGTGACAGCGTCAGTGTGGAGGCAGTTGCGGTTTCAGTAGATGCCGAAAATACAGTTGGAGAGTCTGATGCTGTAGAAACTTGTTCAACAAAGCCATCGTCGTCGTCGTTAGAGGAACTGTTTCGTGATCGCTACACCATGGTAGGCCTTTTCTACCTTTACAAAGAACATTCTGCTTTTTCACTAGTACCGAACCAGTGGTCTTGAAAATTTGTCCTGGGCATTATCCTCATTATTTCTGAATTTTTCCGTCTCGCAGTTCTCAGTCTTATTCGTTGCGGATGAAGGGGCGTGTCCTGCGGGATTGATTCTTTCTTACTCAGTCATCATTTAAGAAAAAAAAAAACACTTGAAGTATTGGATCGGGGAGCAGTCACATTC